TACGATGACACTTTTCCTTATGACAGACTGGGAGAAGACTCAGTATGCAAGCTTCCTATTTAGGGGTGATGCCCATATATGGTGTGAATTGATGGAGGATACTCACAATATAGCCTCGATGACTTGGGGAGATTTCAGAAGATTGTTTGAGGCAGAATATAGAATAGTTGATTGAGTTCATGAAAAGGTTCAGGAGTTTATCAGTTTGCAGTAGGGGACTAGTTTAGTGAAAGAATATTCGGTGAAATTTTATTCCCCGGCAAGATTTGCGCTAGGTGTAGTAAGTACACCGGAAATGAGGAGAGATAAGTTCGTGCATGGGCTGAAACCAAAAATAGCCTTAGATGTGATGGCTGGTGCCCAACCCCCTCAGACATACAGTGAAGCTTTGGAACAAGCCTTACGGGCAGAAATATTTGTGAATAAGCTAACCCTAGCAACTCCATCAACAATAGCCCCTAGTATTCCACATTCTGCTCCACAAAGAGATAGAGCTGATGCCCCCACTAATGGAGAGGTGAGAAATAAGAAAAGATTTCAACCTAAGAAGAACATGAGGGATTGGCAGAACAAAAGGCCAAGAACTGTTGAAGTTCCCCAGTGCCAGAAATGTGGAAGAAATCATTATGGGGAGTGTCTTAGAGATTTGGGCCACAATGTATGCTATAGATATTGGCAGCCAAGGCGTATGATGAGAGATTTCAAAGCCCCTCCTACACTCGTAGCGCAAACACCTAGAGGTACTAATGCTCGAGTGTTTACAATAGCTCAGAGTGAAGCTGAAGCTAGCCCATCCGTAATTACTGGTCAGTTATTATTTCACTCAGTTCCCCTTTATGCAGTAATTGATTTTGGAGCCACACATTCATTTATTACACATGGGATTTTAGAGAGATTAGGTTTGAAACCTATTATAGTGGATTGTCGCATTAAGATAGAGTTACTAGATGGTGTTAGTATGGTAACTCAAGAGATACTTCTAGGGGAGTCCATAGTGATCCATGGAAGAGAGTTGCCAGTGGAGTTGATAGTGTTTGATATGCCTGATTTTGATGTTATTTTGGGCATGGATTTCTTAGGGAGATTTGGAGTAGAGATTGATTGTCGGAAGAAGAAAGCAAGATTTAATCTTGATGATGGTGATAAATTTAATTTTGGCAAGGGTCACCAGCTTAGTATGTTAATTAGCACTGTAAAAGCCAGAAAGATGCTAAGAAAAGGGTGCGGTATATTGCTCATGTAGTGCATAGTAATGATGTCCCACAACTAGAGATTCAGATTGTGCCAGTAGTCCGGGAGTTTTTAGTTGTATTTCTGAAAGATTTGTTGGTTTTACCTCTGGAAAGAGAAGTAGAATTCAGTATTGAACTGGCACCAAGGACAACACCAATTTCTAAAGCCCGTTACCGGATGACCTCTGCTGAACTTCAGGAATTGAAAAAGCAGCTTCAGGAACTCTTAGATAAGGGTTTTATTGGACCAAGCTATTCTTCTTGGGGTGCTCCAATTTTATTTGTGAAGAAGAAAGATGGATCTCTACGGATGTGTATAGATTACAGAGAGTTAAATAAAGTTAAAGTGAAGAATAAATACCCGTTACCTTGCATAAATGATTTGTTTAATCAGCTGAAAGGAGCAGCCGTGTTTTCAAAGATTGATTTGAGGTTGGGTTATCACCAAGTAAAGGTTGCAGAGCAAGATATTGCCAAGACTACTTTTCGAACCAGATATGGGCATTATGAGTTTGTGGTGATGCCTTTTAGGTTAACTAATGGCCCAACAGTCTTTATGGACTTAATGAACCGGGTGTTTCAAGATTTTTTTGATCGATTCATAGTGGTGTTTGTTGATGATATCCTAGTTTATTCTAAGACAAAAGAGGAGCATGAAGAACACCTAAGATTTGTGCTTCAGCGATTGCGAGATAAGAAGCTGTTTGACAAATTTTCTAAGTGTGAGTTTTGACTAGATCAAGTTATCTTCCCGGGCCATACCGTCTCAAAAGAGGGTATATCAGTGGATCCAAGTAAGGTAAAGGTAATTCTGGAATGGCAACAGCTGAAGACAGTAAAGGAAGTTAGAAGTTTCTTGGGGCTAGTAGGCTATTATAGGCAATTTGTAGCAGGGTTTGCTCAGTTGGCTAAGCTGCTTACAGCTCTCACCAAATAGAGAACGCCTTTCATATGGTTTGTCAACCCAAAGACCATCAGGTTTGCTTCAGCCACTCAGCATTCCTGAATGAAAATGGGAAAGTATATCAATGGATTTTATCACAGGCCTTCCAAGAGTTCAAAAGGGGTTCGTTACGTTTATTGATGTTACACTAGGGTATGTTGGGTATACTTGGTGAAAAACAAGTTTGAAGCAGGTCAATTGTTCAAAAACTTTCATTCAATGGTTGAAACTTGGTTTAGAGAAAAAATCTAGGTTTTACGGACTGATAATGGTAAGGAATATTTTTACTCTATCCTAGGAAACTACCTGTTACATCATGGGATTGTACATCAAAGCTCTTGTGTTAATACCCCTCAACAAAATGGGATAGCTGAAAGAAAGAATAGGCACCTATGAGAGGTAGCTAGAGTCTTAATGTTTACCATGAATGTAGTCTCCTAGTCCAGGTCCAAGTTCAAAGTCACCTAGTTTCCTATAGGTCAGCCTAGTCCTATAAGAATAAGTGAGTCTCCTAGTCAACCTAATTTAGGTTAGGTTCTTGTAGGTTAGACTAGTTCCATAAGGATGAGTCAGTCAGCCTACCAATTTAGGTCCTACTCTAACTATATAGCCCACTCTTGGCAAACCAAACTCTCAAGAAAGATTGGAACCAAGGGGAGGTCTGGAGAGATTAAATCAGTCCAGTCTTTAATGTTATTCTCAAAGAACTAACTATCAAAGTAGAAGGAAACGTAATGATCTGCATGAGCAATCATCCAACTAGAAAAAACCAGTGGTTCACAGTCATAAGGTAAGGAACAACTATCTTCTGATGAGTCTAAATCAGGGTATGATGATTTACATTTACCTATTACACTAGGGAAGGGTGTTAGATCTTGTACGTTGCATCCTATTGCTAAGTATATGGCATACGATAAGTTGGTAGATAATTTTTTGGCATTCACCACTAATCTCTCAAATGTGAAGGTTCCAACACCGATGCATAAGGCATTAGGGGATGAAAAGTGGAGGAAGACTGTGATAGAGGAGATGAAGGCTCTTGAGAAAAAATAAGACTTGGGAGCTGGTGAGTTTACCTAGATGGAAAACAATTGTGAGCTGCAAGTGGGTGTTTACTATTAAGTATAAGGCAGATGGAACAGTTGAAAGGTATAAGGCAAGGCTGGCAGCAAGGGGATTTATGCAAACGCATGGAGTAGACTATGAGGCCACCTTTGCTCCAATGGCTAAGTTGAATACTATTAGGGTGCTTGTCTCTTGCAATAAATCTAGACAGGCCTTTACAACCACTAGATGTGAAAAAACGCGTTTTTGAATGGTGAACTTGCAAAAGAGGTATACATGGAAATGCCACCAGGGTTTGAAGGGAGTGGAAAGGACGGAAAAGTGTGCAAATTGAAAAAATAATTATATGGCCTAAAATAGTCTCCACGGGCCTGGTTTGAAAAATTCACAAAGGCTGTTAAGAGGTATGGTTTTACTGGGGGATAACTGATCATACATTATTCCTTAAATCCTCTGCAGGTAAGATTACTATTCTAATTGTTTATGTAGACGATATTATTATTACAGGAGATAGTTTTGAAGAAATGGAGGTTGTTAAGAAGGTTCTTGCTTGGGATTTTGAATTGAAAGACTTGGGGCAGTTGAGGTATTTTCTTAGTATGGAGATTGCTAGGAGAAAAAAGGGAATTTCAGTTTCACAAAGAAAATATGTGCTAGATTTACTGAAAGAGATAGGTATGCTAGGTTGCAAGCCAGTTGAGACTCCCATTGAACCAAATTTGAAATTTGAGGAAATGAGTTGTGTTGCTCTGGTTGATAAAGGTAGGTATGAAAGGCTGGTTGGGAAGTTGATATACCTATGTCATACTAGACCTGACTTAGCCTTTCCGGTAAGCATAGTGAGTCAGCATATGCATAACCCACAAGAGAAGCATTTTGGGGCTGTGAGTAAGATTCTAAGGTACCTTAAAATGACCCTTGGGAAAGGGCTGTTTTTTGGTAAAAAGAATGAAAGGAAAGTAGAAGCATTCACGGATGCAGATTGGGCTAGTTCTATGGATGATAGAAGATCGACCTTAGGTTATTGCACTTTTGTTTGAGGAAATTTAGTAACCTGGAGAAGTAAGAAGCAGAACATGGTAGCTAGAAGTAGTGCTGAGGCTGAGTTTCATGCTATGGCTCATGGATTTGTGAACTAATATGGCTAAGAAGANTTGCAATAATAATGATTTACGCGATATAGAATAAAATGCCTTTTATTATTGATTAATGAACATTATTACAAAGAGTCAATTCTACAATAATTGATTGGCTCTAGGGCATCTACTCTAACAGTTAGATCTTGTACGTTGTATCCTATTGCTAAGTATGTTGCATACGATAAGTTAGCAGATGATTTTTTGGTATTCAGAACTAATCTCTCAGCTGTGAAGGTTCCAACACCGATACATGAGGCATTAGGGGATGAAAATTGGAGGAAGACTGTGATAGAGGAGATGGAGGCTCTAGAGAAAAAACCAGACTTGGGAGCTGGTGAGTTTACCTAGAAGGAAAACAACTATGAGGTGTAAGTGGGTGTTTACTATTAAGTATAGGGCAGATAGAACAGTTGAAATGTATACGGCAAGGCTGACGGTAAGGTTGACGGCAAGGGGATTTATGCAGACGAATGGAGTAGACTATAAGGTGACATTTGCTTTGGTGGCTATGTTAAATACTATCAGGGTGCTCGTCTCTTGCAGCAAATCTAGACTAGCCTTTACAATAACTAGATGTGAAAAAACGTGTTTTTGAATTGTCAACTTGCAAAAGAGGTATACATGGAAATGCCACAAGGGTTTGAAGGGAGTGGAAAAGACCGAAAAGTGTGCAAATTGAAGAAATCATTATATGGCCTAAAACAGTCTCCACGGGCCTGGTTTGAAAAATTCACAAAGGCTGTTAAGAGGTTTGGTTTTACTCGGGGGCAGACTGATCATACATTATTCCTTAAAACCTCTGTAGGTAAGATTACTATTCTAATTGTTTATGTGGATGATATTATCATTACTAGAGATAGTTTTGAAGAAATGAAGGCTGTTAAGAAGGTTCTTGCTTGGGATTTTGAATTGAAACACTTGGGGCAGTTGAGGTGTTTTCTTGGTATGGAGATTGCTAGGAGTAAAAAGGGAATTTTAGTTTCACAAAGAAAATATGTGTTGGATTTACTGAAGGAGATAGGTATGCTAGGTTGCAAGCCAATTGAGACTCCCATTAAACCAAATATGAAATTTGAGAAAATGAGTTGTGATGTTCTGGTTGATAAAGGTATGTATCAAAGGCTGGTTAGGCAGTTGATATACCTATCTCATACTAGACTTGACATAGCCTTTTCGGTGAGCGTAGTGAGTCAGCATATGCATAACCCATAAGAGAAGCATTATGAGGCTGTGAGTAGGATTCTAAGGTACCTTAAAATGACCCTTGGGAAGAGGCTGTTTTTTGGTAAAAAGAATGAAAAGAAATTAGAAGCATTCACGGATGCAGACTGGGTTGGTTTTGTGGATGATAGAAGATCGACCTCAGGTTATTGCACTTTTGTTTGGGGAAATTTAGTAACTTGGAGAAGTAAGAAGCAGAACGTGGTAGCTAGAAGTAGTGTTGAGGCTGAGTTTAGTGCTACGGCTCATGGCATTTGTGAACTAATATGGCTAAGAAGAATCTCGGGAGAACTTGAAATCCAAAGTGTGGAGCCTATGAGGCTGTACAGTGACAACAAGGTTGCGATTGGGATAGCACACAATCCAGTGCATCATGATAGGACCAAGCACGTTGAAATAGATAGACATTTCATCAAAGAAAAGATAGAAGATAAGTTGTTGTGTGTTACCTACTAGCCTACAAGTCAGTAGACAACATATATTCTTACAAAAAGACTACCTAGACAGTTGTTTGTTAATCCAGTTTCCAAGCTGGGAATGATAAATATCTATTCACTGGCTTGAGGGGAGTGTAAAATTTCTTGATTAGAATATGATCAATTTAAGATTTATCTAAGTGTTATCTAGTTTAAGAGATTGAAATAAAAAGATCATCAGGATTTGTTTTCTCCTGATTTCATGTTTAAATATCTCTATATAAGATTTGGGCCAGTTTGGTTTGTAATTCAAAAATAATTTTGAAAAAGTGAGTTACAATTTAAAATTTTAAAGTTTTATCTCTAAATTTTAAATATATGAAAATATATTTTGTATTTTAAATCTCTTTATGAGATTTGGGCCAGTTTGGTTTGTGATTCAAAAATAATTTTAAAAAACTAAGTTACAATTAAAAATTTTAAAAGCATTATCTCAATATTTTAAATATTTGAAAATATATCTAGTATTAAAAATTGTTTTTGAAGTTAAAAACTATATAAAGACTGAGAAATGATATTTTTCTTGTTTTCTAGTTTTACACTAATTTTTAGGATTATATGCAAAAACATTGTTTTGAAAACATTTCAACTTATTTTTATAAAAACTTATTTTCATAAAATTCCTTATATTCCCTGTTTTCGAAAATAAAACACTATTTAAAATTTATAACAAATAGGCTCTTATTTAGATTATAAACTTGTATATGTTTTTATGTTATATTTATAGTTGTGATTGTGATTGTTCAGCACACGAGATTGTGTTAAATTTTAAGTATGGTTGTTGAATGCTTAACTATCAATTTAAGCTTTTAAATCAAGTTGTTACGTAACATTGTTAAAGATGTTATTGAATTATGATAAATCTGCTTGGTTTATTGAATGTATGCAATCCTTGCTATTTTAACTCAATGCGTAAAGATGCCCTTTCTCAGATTACACCCTACTTGGAAGAGCTGCAACTATTTAGGTTACAGTAGGAAGCCAAATATGTTCTTGAACTAATAGATCAGAAAGAGAAGTCACATAAGAAAAGTGTTAATGGAAAGAGTGAAATATATTCAAACATGACTGACGAACAGTCTCCAGCTAAGCGGAAGAAAAATACTGCCCAAAACCCAAAACAAAGTGCATGCGAAAGAAAAGGGACAAGCACGGGACTTAGCTGAAGAAAACGAAGTAGAAGAAGCAAAACCCAAGTTTGAAGAGCATCCAAATGACTAACACATCAAAGACTCCACCACTGGAAGAGCCAAAGTATACACTAACGAGTGTACTACATTTTTATCAAACCTTAACTTCAAGGCAAGTAGAGATTCTCTCGTATTTCAAAGAGAGATTGCTTTTTATTCTTTTTCGACGCTAGGCAGGCAAATACAGAGAGATAATTCTGATGGTTTTAATTTTTTTTTAGGCAACTTTTGAAGATATGAAAAAATTCTTTAGCGATGTTGGTAGGTTGGATCTGTTCGAATTCTGCAGGACAAGTTCACCGAAAAGTCAAGGGTATGACTCTATTTCTCTCATTCATTATTTGTCAATGTTCTTTGTCCTTTATGCTTCAAATGAAAAAGGGGAAGCTATCCACTAGACCTTCCATATGCAAATCAGTCTTATAGTCAAATCCTTATTTAACATTGCCTGACCTTTAAACTTCAACATATGTACACATAATGTGGACTGTACCACATAAATTAGCCCTAAGAAACTAATTTTAATGAGATTGGGAGATCAGCATGGCCGATGCTTCAAGGAGATAGAAACTGCTAATTGCAGTCCATTCTCTTTGATCAAATTTCTTAGGGGTGCTCATTGAAACTTCAATTTGATTTCTTCCTTGCATGCAATCAATAAATCATTTAGTTCTTATGCTTTTTGTTTTAGGATGAATGTCTTTTCCAGAGACGATTATGCAGTCTCAAATAAACCTGCAGAAAGCGTTGAATTCCATAATTATGGTAAAACTGCTTAATTTTTTAAGTATAAAGAGTCTAACTGTCTAAGAGCATATTTTTTTCATTTTGCTAGCAAGTGATATGCTTAGGAGACTCAACCATAGTCCCATACAGATTTACCCATATTCTAGCTTGCCTTTAAACTATAGAGCATTTGTATGGGATCGTTGCACACTAATTTCTAATATCCTCTGATTGATTTTTGAAGGGCCTCGCATATGTGGATTTTGCCGATGATGCACACCTTGCTGCAATTGTAGGAAAGAACAAAAAATAAAAAATAAAAAAAATAAAAAAAATTCTTGGAAGGACAAGCATTGCAAGATCATATCCGAAGCAAAAAAGGAAGGATTCTACTGGTCATGGGGCCTCTGGAGAACATGGTAGGCTAAGTGGAATTATGTTTTATCTTTGTTATCTACTTGTGTGTCTTTGTTTGTGTGCAATGCAGTCTATAGACGTTTCCATGTTTGTGTTTCCCACCTCAACCTTTTATTTTCTTACTCCTTTGGGTTAAATGGCAGAGCAAAGTAGTAATCAGATTTTCAAGGAGTCTAGAGCGCCACACTTTGCTGCTAATAAACGTAGTGATAACATTCAACTGAAGGGGAGGAATACATTTGCAATCCTAAGGAACTCAGACCACTTGGTGTCCCCTCGAAAAATCCAAAAGCCGGGGAAGTGGAAGATGAGAAGTCGAAGTCAAATAATGAGTTCAGAGAAATGTTCCTTAAGAAGTGAGGTTTGTTCCTGGGGTTACATGTTACATGTTAAGTAGCATAGCACAGTAATTGACAAACTTCTCTTTCTTATAAAAAAAAACGTAAGGTTTTGCCTTAATATGTTTCTGTAAACAAGGTTATGACAAAAGATACCTCTTTGAGTACGAAAAATATATGTGCTATTGAGATCAATCTATATCAGTACCCTTCTTGTAAATTTTCTTCCAGATATGTCAAAGTTTATACCCATTTTATTCAAAAGGGTAAAGTTCTAATATGTTTCTTGTGGAACATATATTTCATCCAATTTGTGATGAGGATAGCCTCAATACCTTACCCAAAGATTCAGAGAAATTTTAGCCAATTAGATGGCGATCAAGTTCCTTTTTATGTGACAAATGACCAATGGTATAGGATCCAACAAGATCATGAAAACTTTTATGGGTTAGAGGTTTATTCTTGGTCTAAAATAACATTGAATACTCACAGTGCAACTATTAGGTTCTTTTCTTTTCTGTAACTGTTGATTCTATTCTACCGGAGAATCAATTTTACTATTTATCATAGATAAAAATCCTAATGCAGAAAGATGGACCACTAGAGCACTATTAAGTTTGTGTACTGGAACAACAATGGCCTTGCATCTCATGCTTGTGGAAAATGTGAAAAAAGGCCTTTGTTCTGGAAATTGTCTGAGGAAGAATGTGAAGAATATCATATGTATGCTCGCCTGATTAAAATTTCCACACACATATATTCATTTTTGTTGTCTGTTTTGAATGAATATCCATATCTCATATGATTATGTTTGTTTTCACTTTGACTCTTAATGATTCTATTGGATGCTTTCATAAAATTTCTTGTAGAATCAAGAATGAGGTTTTTGCTTTGTATATGTTAGATCATGAATTAGTACCAATCTTCAAAAAAGATCTGATTGTTTCACTTTCTATTTTCAGAATGGAATATTTACACAATCCCCATGAATAGGATTAAATGTTATTCCATGGTATTTGTATGATATTCCTTCTTAATTTTAAGCGAGTACTTGAGAGGGTTTAAGTGATCTATTAATTATGTTTCATTTTTTGTTTCCTATATGTACTAAGTCACTAAGTGCAAGATTCCCCCGGCGACCATTATTAACTTGTTCTCCCATGGGCTCTTTCCCATGTCGCCTCCTGGAATCAGCTTGTCTTCTAACTTCACGCCCATGAGTCTCATATTTGGAATTTTCTAACCCCTTTCTCATATTTGGAAGGGGTATTTATACAAGTTTACACCAAAGGAAGTAAAGAGAAATTCGAGATTGCCATCTGACTTGGCAAGCGACTTCATGATTTTAGTGATTGCGCGTTGGGATCGCGCAGATATTGATTCGTTCTTATCCCTCTCGAGATGTTCGAGATAACGTTATCCCTTAGTTTTTCGAATAGCTATATTGGATGGTAGCGACGAGGTTATGCTGAGTCGGACTTCAAGTTTCCATGACCTTGAGATCACGTCGATCTACTGATTTTCGGGCTACCAAGACTTTTGAGCTTATGACAAAAATCACACACAACAGATACTAAAGTAGAGGTCATGATTTGAAACTCCCACGTATTACTTCCTGCTATATTTAGGTTGGTCTTTCTGTTTGAATTTGGGCTTGGTTTATGTAACACGTGAAGATGCCTCTTACAGAGCTTAATACCTTTTTCAGCTTAAGCTTTAAGGTCAAGTTGTTTATCAACAAAATTGTTGTTGAAATTTTGTTATAATTTCAATTTCTTGTGGTCTTTCTTTCTTTTAATATAAGTAATTAGTTTTTGCATGCTTAAAGTTAAATATTTTGCACTTAAATAATATTTTTATAAAGGCGATTAAATTTATAGTAATCATTTTGATTAAGCATTATTGAAGTTATAAAAGTAGTTGTGTTCTCGATTGACGTAAGAAAATTTTAATCAATAAGCAAACACTGATTATAAATGTTTAACATTAAAATACAAAGATTCCATTGAAATTAACTTGGCTTCAATGAGCATCATGATTAAACATTATTAAAATTATCTCATAAAATTTGTGGTTCATAGGATTAACATAAAAACAAAGAGGAGAAGATGGAAAATTTAATCAATAAACAACAAACGAATGTTAAATAAGTACATAATGATCCATCCACTACCATTGAATAAGAGAAATTAATTTAAAGAATTAGCATGTCAAAACATTGAGAGAAAAGTTCAAGATTTTGTCTCATATTTCATAATTCTCTCGTAGAATATGATGCGTTGAAAAATTGGAATAGAAAAGTCTTATAGCTATAAAATTTTTCTCTCTTCTAATTGATTTCATCTATTATTGGAAGTATAGTCTCTCATGAACTTCAAATCCAACTTCACTGCCTCATGGTGCACTTTTAATAATAGTCTCTAATAAACAACATAAAAATTGATCTTATAAATGAAGAAGTTTTAACTAGAATGGGATATGGACTTAATGTTGTTTGCTACAATACTTTAATCAGATGGTATTGCAAGAATAAAGAAGTCAATGAAGTTCTTAGTCTTTATCAAGAGAAGATTTTAGAAGGAATTAGGCCTAATGTGATTGCAAATAACAATTTGTTAACGTGCCTTTTTCTTAAAGCTAATGTAAAAGATGTACAAAAATTAGTTGGACACATAGCATTTTCATTGATGGACTTTGCAAGAATGGATATGTTTCAGAAGAAGTGGAAATGTTTCATACTTTAGTAAATAATAAGTTTGCAGTTGACCTTGAAAGCTTGAATTCCCTCTTTGATGGATTATGTAAAACAGGGATATCCGAAACTACTCGGTAGCTATTTTAGAAATTTCTCTCATTGAAAGCCTAGTGCCAAACATTGTTGTCAGAAATTTCGTAATTGTTTTTAGAATTTAGTTTTGATGGATACCACTGTTACCAAATTTTACAAGCAATTGGGGTCATAAGAGAGATTACAATGTTATAGGAAACACATTCATAATAGAAGCTCTTTACTGAGATATGTGTATGTACGACAATCTAATCACTTGATATGTGCTGATCATATATGTTAATGTATAGTGCACATTGTGGATAAGGTAATGTAGAACATTACAATAGTATCATAAAGTGTTAAGTACATCAAATCAACTCCTTTGAGCTTCATTATAATTACATAAATTCACTTAAGGTTTTTGAAATAATAAAATTTCCCTCGTTATTAATAAAATATTAGTCCGCTAGAACATATATCTACAAAATTAACAAATATTTATTAAATTGCCCTAATTCTATTATTTTAACTCCTATAATTTAACAGTAGAGATTTTCATTATTTTATAAATTTGATTATTTTTATTATATTAAACCTCAAGGCTGTCAATATAACTCTATTGTATAATACTAAACTAGTAATTATATTAAACTATACGTACTATTATTTTAGTAATACAGATATTTCAGTAATACAATTAGCATAATAATCTTATTAACATGATAACGAAATATTATTCATGTAACTTCTAAAAAGTAAAAAACAATATCCCTTGAATTTTTAATATATCACATTCGATTATGTGAAATATCGATTTTGGTATATTTAAAAGTTTGAAGAACAAATAGAAAAAAAAAATTATATATCATTGTAAATTAAAAATTGTTTTAAAACCCAACCCAAGGTGAAACCCAGCAAAGTTGCCTGGTCCCGGGTTGACCGCTGGTCAAACCGGTTGATAAAAACTTTTAAAATTAAGCAAATACACCGCTAAAAATTTGTTGCATACCTATAGGTTTGAAATTTAGCAAGCACATCCCAAATACAAATCGGCCAGCGATTGATTGGCGGCAGCGACAGCCCAGATGCAACCCCAATCGTCCTTTGAGCCCATTCCTCTTAAAATATACCCACAATCTGGTCGAAATAGGTTTGATTTCAACCAAATCTCATTGACGCCGGCGTCGGCATTCCAAGCCATATCTAATCGATGCCAGCGTCAACAACCCTCCCCATCACCAAGAAATTACTCCCCCCTTCCTTCTGACCAAAACCCACCTAAACCCACACACGTTAGCATAGCCAATAGCAGGCAAAATCCCATTGTTGCCGCTGCCAAATTTGTTCGATTTCCGGTCGATTTACTCACCGGAAATCAACGCCGTCACCACCATTCCATTCACCGGTAGTTTCTCTTCGAAAGCCCCAACATCCTGGCCGGCAATTGTTTGCCAATCATCCTCCTAAATCTTAGGGTTTTGGGTGAATAGGAAAAACATAAACCTGGCCCGTTGAAGCTTCCAGGTCCCAGTTCGACAGGTTAAACCAGCTAGGCCGAGCCGGGTTTAAAAACAATGAAATTAAATACAAATTTCAATAGCATGATTTATTTAAACCTTATAATTTTATTAAAAAAAGGTAAAATTGAATGCTTATATAAATTGGTTTGTTTAATCAACGGATAATTTTGGATTTAGTAGAAAACCACCTCAAACCGAAAAACACCTGAACGTGGATTTACAATTTTAACCTTCAAATGAACAATTTTCAAAATCATAGAGGTGGTTTGAGTAGGAAAGATCGATACTTGACATAAGTTTGCACTTTTGAAAACCTTAAAGATTGTTTGTGAAATTTGTCAAAACATTTCTCTTTATTTCTTTAATGCATTTGGCTTTTGCAATGACCTTACTTCGGAAAAAACGACCCACAAAAACACTCTTCATACATGGCTTTGAGATTCAGATCCTCATTTCGTTCGTCTTCAATCTCTCAAAACCCATCTTCGAAAGTTAATGTTTTATTTTTGTTAGCTCACTTACACAACCTCACATCTTCAAGCTCCAAAAATGAAGTTTCGCATTCTTTCAAAAAACCCTTTGAACGATCCTCACTTGCTAAATTCCTCGAAGAAAATTGTCGATCAGGTAGCTTTACTCTGAATGAAGCATTGTACTTTTTTTATTGCATGATTAATTCGAAACCCCTTTCTCCAATTTCATCATTCACTAATTTGTTTGGTGCACTAGCTAAAAAGAAGCATTATTATGAAGTGATTTCGCTGTATAAGCTGTTGAATTCAACTGGGTTGTCTCCAGATTTTATGTCTTTGAATATTTTGATCAATTGCTTGTGTAATATTGAAAGGGGTTCTGATGGTTTTGTGGTTTTTGGGGCGATTTTGATGTTGGGTTTTAGCCCAAATATTGTGACATTTACTTGTTTGATTAAAGGTCTGTGTGTAGAGAGAAAGATTATGGAATCAATGGAATTGTTTAAGAAAATGGTTGCTGTTGGTTGTAGGGCCGATGTGATCACTTGTGACACTTTGATTGGTGGATTGTGTAAAACAGGGAAGATAAGTGTTGCCATTAAGTTGCTTGAAGAGATGGCTAATGGGAATAAAGAATCTGGTGTTATTTGTAGGCCATATGTTGTTGTTTATAATACTATAATTGATGGTCTTTGTAAGGCTGGATTGGTTGAGAATGCTAGACAATTGTTTTTGGAACATATGGTTCAAAGGGGTGTGGTTCCTGACATTTATACCTACAGCATTTTAATGAACATCTGATAGAATTGGTGATGCAAAGCAGTTGTTTGATTCTATAACTAGAAAGGGATATAGCCCTCATGTTGTTTGCTACAATACTTTAATCAATTGGTATTGCAAGAATAAAGAAGTCAATGAAGCTCTTAGTCTTTATCGAGAGATGATTTCAGAAGGAATTAGGCCTGATGTGATTACATATAACACCTTGTTAACTGGCTTTTTTCTCATAGCAAAAGTGAAAGATGCACGGAATTTAGTTGGTGAGATGCGGCTTAACAATGTTTTCCCTGATTCTTGGACATATAACATTTTCATTAATGGACTTTGCAAGAATTGATATGTTTTGGAAGCGGTGGAAATGTTTAATGCTCTAGTAAATAATAAGTTCACAGTTAGCATTGAAGGTTTGAATTTCCTCATTGATGGATTTTGTAAAACAAAGAGGTTGGGAACTGCTTGGTACCTATTTCAGAAATTTTCCCTTCATGGAAACCTGGTGCCAGATGTTGTAACATATAACATTTTAATCGATGGGCTATGTAAAAATGGACAACTAGAAATGGCAAATGAGTTGTTGTCATATATGGAGGAAAAAGGTTCTGCTCCAAATGTAGTCACATTTAGTACGCTTATGTTTGGTTTCCTCAAGAATAATGAGATACCAAAAGTTGTTGAACTCCTTCATAAGATGGTGGAGAGAAATGTGAAGCCAACTGAATGTACAATGTCCTTAGTCATGCAGTTACTAATGAAGGCCGAAAATTATAGTGAATGATTGAACGAGCTTCCTCAATTTCCTGTCCAAAAGAGAAATTGAAGTTTACGTGATAAAACTTTAGTGAGTATTAAACTTTTTTTCGGAGCAGAATCCTGCAAAAGTTCATCCAGCTGCCCAAATGCTCAATATTGGTTACGGTAAGCGGAAGGTTCAATAAACACTTTCATCTGTTCGAATTTGATAAGGATGGTGCTAGCGATGATTGAGAATGATAGCTTTCCTGATCAAACAAATGATACGTGATCTGTCTCTGTTGTAAGTACATATATTAGAGGTGGCAGCATTGCAGGTTGCTTTTGGATTTGCACATGTAGTAGATCTTAAGGGTTTGAGGATTATTTTTGTTATAAATTTCAGTAAGCAAAATTTGTATATGAGGAATTGTGGAATGGTTCTTACTTCAACTACGACAATAATGGTAGCCACTCAAGTTCATATGTTCAAGCTAATCAGTTTACTGGACAACGATATGTTGCAACTGATTAACTTCATTCATTGATATTCTCAATTATCCAGGCCTAATAAATCTTGATTTATTTATAGTGTTTCACATGTTTCTGTTTCTCAATATATATTCTTTTTTAGTTCAGATCTGATAAGACTAGAACTTACCAGGTCTGTCTCTATTATAGTTATGCATGAGCATGTGCTCTTTCAACAATAGTTGATGAAGACAAAGCAAAAAGAGCATTAGAGAAGGTTTTTCCCTAGAATATCTTGAAGAATATGGATGCACAACAGGGGCTGGTCAATGGGATCTACCTGTTGGAATAGTTAAAATGACAACATTGTGGTCAAGAAAAATATGGTATGTGTTACATATGCAGTTGCTGTAACGATTTTTAATGGAGATTTGGTCGATGTGGGATTTCAAATTGCCATTGAAATATGTTTTCTGCTATACATATGCTTTATGTTGGTGTGATAATTGAATTAAGGTCTTGAGTATTACGTTTTAGCAATGTGTAATAATATATTCTTGTTTCAATAATTTTAGTGTATAATGACCCTCCAACTTTTTGCTTTTACTAATTTTAAATTAAAAAAAAGAAAAACGATAAAATTAGTAATATCATCTAGGGCAGCATGTTAAAACAGGGTAATTGAGAACTTTAATCTATCTTAATCTGAGTTTATTTAGAATTTTGAAGTGCTTAGAAGATGCTCTGAGAAGTGGGCAGTCTGCAGCTGTCAAGAAATTAGATTCCAGTAAGCAACCAGACCTGGAATTGCTAGCACAGGTTTGGCTTATTATTGTGCATTATCTTCAGTTCTTCTATTGTGTTGCAATAAATATTTTGTCCTTCATGATTTTACAGGTTTCTATGGTATCAAGACTTAAAAAAGAAAATGTTGTTAAGCTTGTTAGTTATTGCATTGATGGCCCTCTATATGTCCTTGTCATCAATTAAGCATGCAGCAAAAATACATGTAAAGGGTCATTCAGTATTGGCTACAAGTACAGGGTCAGTCGTGACATCAAAACATTTTGCATCATTTTTGGTGCATGAGATTTATCAGTAATTTTTTATTTTCTTCTTATTGTTGGTTTGCCTTATAAATTTTATGTTTATATGGTTGTGATGCCTATTTTCGGGAATTCTTGTTAAAAAGTTGTATTCAATGGCGTTACTAGTATTGTAAACCTGGAAAACAAGGACGTAAATGAAAGTAGGAATCTTTTAAATCTTTTGAATACAAGATATTTTCTTTATGTCATTTATCTGCATGTTTTCATTGTTATCCACGTAGTGGCTCTTGTGTACTATATCAAAGGGATTCTGTCTGCCAAAATGTTTAAAATAATTGGGATATTGAGGGATTGAATCAAGGTTTTAAAACCCTGTCGGTTCAACTGATCGAACTGAGAACTGGTGGTTGAGTCAGGTAAGTTGAGATGGAAAACCAGGAATTGCAATTAACCTGTTATGACCTGCGGTTGGATCGAGGTTATTGTAATAAACCATTGGTCCAACTGATTTTGTGCCAAAACTGGCTCAACTCAATTCCTAAAATAAAAAATTCTAAATCCCTTTTTCAATCTCATTCGACACCCTAATCTACACTAGGACTTCGGCATCTTCAATCTTTGACTTCTTCCACCTGTTTGCCAAAACTAACTGCGTCAGCAGCACCAAGTCACCGTCTGACCTACTTTGCATAAACCTATTTCCTTTTCATCATCTTCTTATTCTCTAAAACCCAAAACCCCACTCAACCCTTCTCTCACACCTCAAAAAATGGTACACCTGGACCAAAATTCTCACCTCCTCGGTTAGCCCCACCTTTCTTCACTTAGACAATGGCCTCAACGCCTCTTTACAGAGATCTCAATTGGCTATTGGAGGACTCAAAAAGAGCATTAGAGAAGGTTTTTCCCTAGAATATCTTGAAGAATATGGATGCACAGTAGGGGCCGGACAATGGGATCTACCTATTGGAACAGTTAAAATGACAACATTGCAATCAAGAAAAATATGGTCTGGTGTTACATGTGCAGTTGCTGTAACGATGATCGTGGAGATTTGGTCGATATGGGATTACAAATTGCCTTTGAAATCTATGAAGCAGTATGGTCTGAAAATGCAGTCGTGTAAGAACCCCTAAGTTTATTTAAAGCTATTATCTTATAGCTTAGTTAATAGGCTGTTGACTAAGGTATGAGTTTGTGTTTTTTAGATCTAAATCTATCTCAAATCTGTATAGATTTCATTTCATCATCTGTTTTGT